GATTATGAATATACATTATTTATCTGTGTTATTCTTTTCCAGTGCTTATTTTACCCAATTTTCTTTACAGTTATTTTGAAAAATATTAGAGTTTTGTACATAAAAGTGAGTACCACATTCCTTTTTTTTATCTCTCACTTTCCATTTTCTTAATTCAAGCCATTTTGACTTGAATGACTTACAAAATTCTACAAAAAAAGTCTTTTTTATGAATTTGTTTAAGGCTGCTTAACATACTGAAGAATTCTAGTTTTCAATATTGAAATCGTTGAATGCCAACTTTTTATTCCAATTTCTTTTTGGTGTAATTTTTTAAAGAAAAGTCATTGAAAAGGAGAGCCAGACAAGTATTTTGGAATTTCACTATTTAAAAACTTAACGGATTCTTTTGTGAATAAAAAAGTGAACTAATGTTCACTTTTTTAGAGGCAGAAATTGAGTTGAAATTACAACTGTTTTATTGATCATTTCCTTATTTCATGACGTAAAGGCAGCTGTCCTTATTTTCAATGTTCAAATTAATGTGATTTAAATATTGGCTATCAAAAATTTACTTTCGAATCTTCGAACCGAACAGATGGTCAGAGATAGTGGACTGCAATGCTCGTCTGTGTTTATTTTTTCCTCATTTCTACTTTTAATATCTTTTTATAGTCCTTAGCTGATTTTTCACATAATTATTTGCATTCTCCTGATTTGTTTTTACCCCTATATGTTTTTACCCCTATACATTCCACATATTAGCTCTTTTATCCTTTTCGTCCTGTATCTCATTTCCACCTTTTTATCTTAGTTGTAGACCACAACAATCATTAATCTTCAATTGGTCATTTATTTCTCTTTCATCCTCCTCTCACATTGGATATTATAGAAGGCTAGGAAATGAAGAGCGAGAAGTGTCCTTCACTCATCTTCTACCTCACACTTTTTTTCTTCTTTGACCTGATCGATTGGCTTACCATTATTCTAACGTCCACATCCCCAAACATGTGCTGTCCACTATTTGCAATGTCTGCATGTGTTGCGACCTACTGACCATTATAGCTACCCTTATATGAAATCATATTGGCTTATACTTTCATCAAAATGTCACGAATGACTTACAATGTAAAATGCTATTCTTGACCTTGTTTTTTTTTGCTTTTTATCCTACTTTTTCGTTATCTGCTGTTTTTAAGCTTTTCACCAATGAAGTTAGCAAGCCTTCTATATTCGTTTGTTTTTATCTTTATTTCAATCTGCAGTAATGTTCATTTCTTATTGCAAATTTCAAATCTTAATGAAGGACAATTAGTCAATTGTGCTTGGCAGCATTTGACAAGAGATAGTATTTTTTTTGTTATTACGATTTACGGTGATGTTGATGGACAGTTGTGGTAACGACTTAGATCATTTTATCATAAAAGACCTTTGTAATTCTTCTAGCATAGCTAGTGAGCGAATAAATAAGGAACTCAAATTCCCGAATGTAGAAATGAATTGATCAATTTGAAGAACACCGAAATCCTTTATCCTTTTACTCTTGTTTGTCACAATATATGCATGATATGGGAAATATATCGAAAAGCTCATATACTGGTCGGCTACTTTTTGTCGTTCTATTTAAGAATGCTAATAAAAAGGACTTTAAGCTAATTAGTTATGAAGGAAAATTTCATTCCGATGTAAAAGCTTGTTATCAAGTTGAAATGAACTTTTTAGTATTCATTTCAAAAGCAATTTTTGAAAAGCATAGAATAGAAACTTTTTTCTCTATTTTTTTCTCTTTTTCAAAATTTAAGTGTCGTAAAATTGTCATAAATTTTGGTATAAATTGAATTAAATTTATATCATCTTGCAAGAGCTATATAGATGGAATTTGCATCACATTCTTATTTTCGAAATATCCTTATGATTTTATCCTTCTTTCTTTTCTTTAAATGAAATATTTCCCTCACAGCCAATGCTTTTAATTTCAGCGCTGGCGAAGCATTCAGTCGTGTTCTTTATTCACACCCAAATCACGAATTTACAGTTGAAATATATTCCAGGCTGGGATTTATTTACAAGAATTTGGAATTTTTCGAACTTGCCATTAAGGTTTTTGATTTTTTTTCCAATTTAACTTTTTTGTTTAGAAATTCATCAAACATTAATATTATGTTGGTTTATTTCCGGTATCGATCAATCATCAGCGCAATGATAAGATCCCACTAAGGTGTAAAACACTTGTCAAATATTCTTGTTCTAAACATCTACCATAAAGTTCTCTGTGGAAACCACCATCTTGATATTGGACTTTTTCCATTTGACAAAAATGTGACTACTTTTTGTTTTACAGTTTTCGTGGTACCCTGTGAAAATTTATAGAATAACAAATTCTGATAGTTTATAGTTATTTATATAGTCGGTAAGAAAATAATGGTAGTGGGACGCAAGTATGAGAAAAGCTGATTTTTGAATGAGGTTGTGGTCAATTTTAGTTTTTTGAATGCAATAAAATTATCTCTTGGCTGATAATCTTTCATGAAATATTAATTACTTAGGCATTTGATTGCCGGCAAGCACGGTAATCAACTTCTAAATAATTGATATTATGGAACGATGAATAGGACAAATAAGTATATGAGATACCACTAAATGTGTATCATCTATATAGACTTAAAAAATTAATGAGAAGTTGAGTCCAGGGATAAATCAACGCTTGGTAATTGATGTGACTTACTGCTTAAGTACCCTTAATATTAGTAATCTAGATATTTTTATATTAATCAACTTGAAATTTATTATTTTCTTGTTTTTGTTGGACTGAATTTTCAACTGTACGATTACATTTCGAATACGTTATGAATGGTGTGAGCATTGATCAAGTATCTTTTGATTAATTTATTGGCACAACGGTTTAAACCATTCGTTGCAGCACTTCACAGCAGCATTGAACGACAGTCGTGAAAGCACATTCCTGACGAAGGTTGAATTGCGTTTCAACATAGCTCATTGCTACGACATCGCTGGTGACCTTGATCGGGCAGCCATTGAGTATCGAACTATCTTAACTGACCACTCCGTTCAATTGACGAGTAGTTTACAAGCACAGATCCTAAGACAACTTGGTAATGTATCATCTGTTTTTGTTTCTTTTTTCTATTTTCTTTTTCCTGTACTGCTTTTGCTGGTAATATCATCCATTTTCGACCAGCTTCGTGAAAATAGATATATGATATCATCGGTTTGATGCCATCTGTGAAGTTTCATTTTTTTTTCAGTTTTCCTTCTCTGAATTTTTAAATTTAAAAATTTTTTCGTTTTGCAAGGTAAATTATTTGTGTATTATTTTGATTGTGATAAGGTAATGAATAATTTTTACGGAATTTATACAGAATGGCATAAATTTGAGCCTAGAATTTTTATCGAATGCATTTATTTTTGTTTTTTTGCTGAGTTGGTGGAATGACTTTTACTTGTTCGAGAATGGCAACTGATCTATCGAGTTTTTAGGTTTCGACAACAATGTTTTCGACACTAGAATGTATTGTTGCATTGTTACGATTGCAATCAGAAGGATATGTTAAAATATTTAGTTATATTGCATATTTAGGTTGGTTGTGCTACCGCGAGGAGTGTCAACCGGCACAGAGACCTCAAAAGATTTTCGAGGCAGAAAATTATCTAATTCAAAGCAAAGAACTTGAACCAAGTTGTGGAAAAACATACTATTACTTAGGGCGTTGCTACGGTGAACTACAAGATAGAGCACACGACGCATTTGTTTATTACAGGTTATTTATTGTATTTCTGTTTGAAAACAAACTATTGTATTGTCAAAAATTTGTAATTGTGTACCTGAGTGATATAGACAAAATTATTTATGAGATAAAATTTTCTCAACAAATTGTGATATCTGTAACTTTAACAAGCCTTCTTATATTCCTCAGAAATTATAAACGACGCTGATTATTAGCAATGCTAATGTTGCTGCAGTACGATAAAATGACAACGTATCCTGGATAGTAGACATCAACAAGATTATTTGAGGAGAGAAAAATATTCTTATTGGATGAAGATAACATTACTAAACTAAAATTCTTAAGCAAAACTTCATGTGAAAAAGGCATAATTGGGTAGTGCTTTGTTATTCATTTACTTGTTGATTATATTTTTCGGCATTTGTCATACTATTTTGTTAGTATTAGAGGCGTATCAGTCGAAGTAACTTTATTATAAATCCATTATGGATGTGTAACAAAGTTATCGTTTTGATAAACTTTAGTTTTTAAACTTTGTTTCTAGGCATTCAATTGATAAATCAGAAGCAGATGCGGATACGTGGTGTAGTATTGGTGTTTTGTATCAGCAACAAAGTCAGCCAATGGATGCATTGCAGGTTGATTGATTTCTTTAGTCTTTATTTATAAATAATTCCAATTAATATTTGCCTTGTGTTCTAACAATTTGAATCTGAATTAGAAAACTAGTTTTGATTATGAAAAATTAATTGTACATGAATTAATAGACAAAAAAACACAACAAGTGTTGCATTGTTAGCGTTCCTACTCTTGTCATTATTATCATTGTTCTTGTTATTTTTTGACCAAAATTTTGAAATTTACTCCTTTTTTCCAGGCGTTTATTTGCGCAGTCCAATCAGATCGTGAGCACAGTGCTGCTTGGACGGATTTAGGACGATTGTACGAAGTTAATTGTCAATTTTCGGACGCACTCCACTGTTTTAAAAAAGCACTGAAGTGTCAACCAGGTTAATTCAAAGTTTAAATCCGAATAATTTCCAAGTAGCAGAGTAAATATGCAGTTTCGGTAAAGAAGCTTCATTTTTGGGAGTTTTAATAAGCCAACAAAATCAGTAAGGCTTGTTGGATAGTTGTTACTAATGAATAGTTTTCAGTTATTCCAAAATCATCTAATAGGATGGATGAAATAGATGAAATAATTACTTTTTTATTACGCAATTACTGCAAGCCATATTGACCAAATGAAAAGTATTCTATTGTTAGTAGTCATTTTTGCTAAATTGTAAAAACCAGTAAAATTTTTTTTCAGCAGCCTGCGATTCAAGAATTTATCATTTTTCAGCAGCACCGGAAGCTTTGAAAGCTAGAATACGTGTCCTTGAAAAGGAGTTGCATCCATCTTCATTGCTTATTGGAAATTTGCGATCTCTACCACCTACCGAGTAATTACTTTGTTTGATACTGAAAAATTAAAAGTGACTTACTGGCGTATTTCTATTTTAAAAAATTATTGTTTCAGATTACCTGGCCTTAACGAAGCTTGGAGGCTTTCCATTCCTGCGGAATTGAGTCAAAGACAGGAAGAATTTTTGAAAGTATTTTTTTTGTAAACTTTCTTGTAAAATGATTTTTTAATATTATGTACGGTATTCTTTTATTTCCTTCCTTAAATCACTCCAATCGCGCTGCTCGAGTAGTGCGATGCTGAATAGTTAATTGTTTTTGATTTCAGTTTTACAAAAATTCTATTTTTTTCAGCAAAAACAGCAACGCTATCGCGACGGTAGTCCGTTATTTTCTGCTACGTTAACATTACCTCAGGTATTTATGTACTTCAGTTTACATAATAATGCTTAAATACAGTGAGGCATTGGCAGTTTTTTCTAATCGATTTCATGTTGCCAATTCAAATAATTTTCCGTGCGTATTGATTGAATAAAATCCATATGTATTGATACTATCTTCGGCATCCTCTTATCATTGCAGAATACGAATGAATCAGTGGAAATACAAATTCAATTAATGAATATTTTGCGTGCAAATAAAGCTGAAATTACTGAACGTGAACGTATTTTGTTGGAAATGCTAGAAAGTAAATTCGGCAAGGTTATTCTAAGTATTTTTACTTCAAAAAATTTGTAAATATGATTCTAGAGTTGTAATAAATTTAAATCATCATTGATTAAAATTCTATTATCTAACTGCAGATTATAACATATCATTTGTTCCTCGATTCTCAATTAAATATACTAAACATAGTAATAAAAAATGGATTACTATCCAGATTGATAAAAATGATGTCGAACAATCTGTAGAAATGCATGCTGAACAAGATTTTACGAATGTCGGTATCAAAAAGGAAATGCTTATAGATGGTAACTTATTATTGTTTTCTGCTGAAGTCTTCCAATTTTCTAATATTTAAATGAAATGTTTGTTTTCCTTTATTATTTATCTTGTCCTTGTTTGAATCATCTTGCTTCTCTTACAGGTGATGCTCTACCTTCTACTTCTTCATTAGAAATTCATTCGGTTGAAAAATCGATCACTGCTGATAATAAAGAGGTAACAAAAGAACAAGTAACTTATTAATTAATGCTTTCAGTTTGAAAATAATACGGCATGTCGAAGGAAATAGACTGATATTTTTTATTTTTAAAAAGGTTCCGGAACGTCATAAACAATGTATTTTTATTTTAGGCAAAACCAATTAAGGAGGTATCTCCGTTACCTTATTCGTTCTCACTTACTGCTGATGTTCGAGTACCGCTCACAATCACAGCATCGGAACTGATGGAAAGATGCAGAAAAAGAGTTGATAAACCAAACGAATTTTTGGAAATATTTGATGAACAAGTGAAGCCTCCAACCTTATCAGATGTGCCACAAATGGAAAAATCTCTGCCTGAGAAAGTTTGTTCATTTTTCAATTTTCTAAAAAATTATTAAAGGTAGTATTGCTCAGTACACTTTCATTACATAAGGCAAGGATAGAGTGATTCCGTTTTCTTTGCTTGAATTAATAGGCTAAAGTTAATGCATTAAAAATTAATTGTTCCTTCAGAGATTTGACGATTAGTTCGAATGTTATTTTCAGCTTTTACGACCAACACCTGTAATTATGGTAGAATCACGAAAAGAAGCATATAGTATTGAGCTACAAAATTACTGTTACAATAGTGCAGTTGCATTGATACGAGGTTTGACGCAGACTTTAAAGATGGATCTTTCATTGTTTTCAACGAAATCTTTATTGGAAATTGCGCCGAATCATGAGGTTCGTTTTTCGATGGAAACTTTTATGTGCTACAATGAGCAATCTGTTCTTCCTTGCTACTTATGCAAAAATGAAATTATAAAAAAAAAATTATAAAAATAACCTGAAAGTATTATAGAATGACTATGAGTTATCTGTAGTTCTGGTTTAGAATTTTTTATCTTCCAAAAACTTTTTAAATTATAAACAAAAAGAGCTAATTTATCTTTTTTTTTCTTTTTGTGCAGATTTGGATAGGTAAAATGCAGCACAAATTTTAGCTGTCTTAAATTTTCTGGAAGCAATTCATTATGTTTTCATGTAGTTTTATGTTTTGTTTTAAAATGTCACTTAAATATTAAATATTATGCTCCTTTTATTGTTGAAATGTGAATATGCGATGAACATAGTTATTCAGACCTGTTTATCCTGCATTTCTCGCTGTAATTTTGATCCATACTCAACTGAACGAAAACCAAAAAATAGTTTTATCCAAAAGAAAAACAAATTCTTAAAGAATTTGTAATGAATTTCAGAAACACGTATTAAAAGTTTTCCGCATTGCTCTGTGAACTGCTAAACTAATCTTTAAAAAAATTATGATTTTTAGGTGGAAATACGGTCTCAGTACAAGATGCCTCCCGATCAGAATGTTGATCATCTTGGACAACCAACGTGGACATGTCACAGTATTCGTTCCTATACCACTATTGCTCATTATGCTCAATATCAAGCCCAATCATTCCAATATAGCCTAAAAGTAACGTATCAAGTGTTTTCACAAATGCTAGGGAACATTTCACAAATTCGATCTTTAGAGATGTCAGTCAGCTGAGTGTTGTTAAGCCAGAGCAAGACATATTCCTGGAATTAATTAATGAGGAAATATATTATTCTGTTTTGATTGGTTAGGAGTAAACCTCCAACAACCTAATTATCCTGCGGATTAAATGAAATGGTTTGAGATTTAGAATCATGGATTGTTTTCACACATCTTCAAGATATACCATTACTCTGATATGTATTTGAATGAATAATTTAATAGTTGCTTTCAGATTAAAGTAGGTCAGGCTAGAAAAATTTATACTTTTAAAATTGAAGTTTAGGAAGAAGCCGAGAAACTTCGGGCAGCAAGTGCAAAGTATGGTGGTGGTAGTGGTGGTGGTGGTGGTACTTCAACTGATGCTAGTAATGGTTCATTAAAACGTCGGCGTGCCACTGTACCTGAGGAATCTCAAATGCCAATGAAATTGATCAAATTTGGAACGAATGTTGATCTTTCAGATGAAACAAAGTTTAAGTAAGAAATCACACTACTTTTTATTGCTTGACAAAACCTATTTCATGAATGCAATATTTTTTCTTTTGTTCATTCCTTGTTGTAAACTGCTTCACTTTCTCCATTTTCCACTTCAGTGTTCTGTTTTCTTTTTAAGGATATTATGTAATTAAGAGAAAGACAAAATATTTGACATTTTAAATATGAAATACAACGGGAGGATATCAAATTATTTGTGTTTCAGAATACAACTAGCGGAATTAAATAAAATGCCGTCTTTTGCACGCTTAGTTGCCGCATGCAATATGTTAACGCATCTTGGACATACTGTTTACGGTATGAATACTGTTCAACTGTATATGAAGGTGTGTTGTTTGATATGCGAATTTACTAAAAGTTGTGATGTATATTATTATTATTAATTTATCGTTCTGATGCACATCATTAATTATCCAGAAAGTAAAATTTTTATTAGAAGTTTGATTTTTTTGATTGCAATTTGACAATAGATAAATTTCCGCGTATTTGTTAAAAGTTTTATTTTCTGATGGTTCTAGGTACCAGGTGCACGCACTCCAGGGCATGTTGAAAATAATTGCTTGGCATCGGTGAATATAAACATTGGACCAGGTGATTGTGAATGGTTTTGTGTTCCATATGAATATTGGTCGGCGGTTAACGAATTGGTTGAAAAGTATGCTCAATTAATCTTCATAATAGAACAGTTATTCAATACTAAGATATTAAAAAGGAATTAGAAAAGTGGGAGTGTGAACGGAAGTAACCCAATAAATAGTGCGATTTAGTGGAAACTAGTTAATATGATTAGTCATTTCTGTTTGTTTCTACATTTAAGATTCACAATCATCATTTAACTCATTTCGTTTTGTATGGGAATAAAGATGAAAATTTTTTAATAATTTAAGTTTCCAGGCACAAACTCAACTTTCTGAAAGGATCTTGGTGGCCAGATATTGATGAGCTGTTGGAGGCAAATATTCCTGTGTATCGGTTTACTCAGAAAGCAGGTGATGTGGTTTGGATAGGCAGTGGCTGTATTCATTGGGTGCATAGTACCGGATGGTGTAACAATGTGGCATGG